GCGATAGTTTTCTGCCGTGTTCAAAACGGTTAGTTGTTAATGCTACTTCATTAGAAGGCCTTTTCGCATGGTCAGCGACTGCCGGCAATTTATGTGTACTAATTACACTGCAATACAAGTAGTCTTTGTGTAGACCCGTGAGCAGAGTATAAGTTACGGGAAGAAATCAGGCTAGCTACTAAATCCTTTGCTGTGTCTTAACGTTAGGTATTTCCTGTGTATTTACTGAAACCATTTTGGACAGCCTGCAATCTGTTTGAGGTACGTATCCACTAACTAAAATTATGAGATAGATGTCTATTGCTGAACGTAATAGCCGTCCGTAAATTAATGGACAAATGCGAAAAAACGTGGTCAAGTATATATCAGATATTGACATCCAGGACTATTACAACGGACAAAGACACTTATATTTGTGTATGAAATTAAGCCTAACAAAGAATGAATCCTGGCATTCTTTATATACATGATCATCATGGTCGTCACGCATATTGAATACTAGGCGGGATGAAGCCTTTCCTCAATCTTTCATATATATTATTTATCACGTAGACACTGGAAGAAAAATATATATGCATAGTTGGTTCAAAACACACATGCACACATTTGAAACATTTAATGTCTCATATACATGCAGTCCTCAATCTAAACAATTAACTAATGTATTACATAGAAGATGAAACCCTCATAATTATATGTATCTATTAGAAAATTAATTTCCAGTTATGACGTTTCTTTTGTGATCCTGCATCTTTCTAAGTATCATGAATGTATAAATTATAGAGTAATATCCACTTCCTATTAACTCTATTCAATGAAGGGCCCGACATGGCAATCGCGGGTTCAAATCCCTGTCACACCAAACATGCTCGCCCTTTCAACCGTGGGGGCGTTATAACGTGACGGTCAATCACACTTTTCGTTGATAAAAGAGTTGCCCAAGAGTTGGCGGTGGGTGGTGATGACTAGCTGCCTTCCCTCTACTCTTTCACTGCTAAATTAGGGACGGCTAGCGCAGATAACCCTCGTGCAGCTGTGCGCGAAATTCAAAACAAACAAACAAACTATTTAATGAAATCACGAAGTACATAAAATAACGTCACAAACTCACGTTTATATTTGGAAAATTCCTTGTTAATTTTCAATACCATATTATAATAAATTATAAAGAAAAACCTGCTAAACTTGTTTGTGTTGGAAAGTATCACGCATACGTTAATTTTCATTAACACTACTATAACTTTCATTTGAAATATTTATATTTCATTGCACTGTTTTTTGTAATTAAGCACAAAGCTACACAAAGGGCTACCTATGCTCTGCCCACCATGGATATCGAAACCCGGTTTCTAGCGTTGTAAATCCGCAGATATACCGCTGTGTCACTTGGGGCTCATTGCACTGATTTTACAGTGTTTTCTCTTATTTAACTTACTTTCATTACTATATTGATACTTTTACTGCATAGTATCCAAATACTGTGAATTATTTGTTTTGTTTCTTATTTATCTGCATTTAATCATCATTTACATATGATATAAGAGCGAGCTGGTGATAAAATTATGCTATTTGATGATACGTTATGTGAAAGCGGATATGATGTTTTGTATTTAGGGATTTTCTTTAACACCAGCTGTTAGGCACTACACTATATATCCTGATTCATAAATCTGTTCTCCCTACTCATCAGCGCTATGCTTGCACATTTAACAGGCTCAGTCTGTTACCCATCTTGTATCGGTATCACAAATCTATAAATATTTTGAAAACTAGTCAGACTGCTTCTACAAAAGCAAAAACGTCTTGATCTCATATGTGTAATAGTCAAATGTTAAGAATGGTTAAAATTCTGACAAATCGCAGTTAAATTTTTTTGTTTAACTAGGAACAAATAATACAGTCACTAATATATGCTGTATTAACGTAAACACAGAAGCACAAGCGAGTAGCGGTGTACGAGGTGATACCAAGTTTTAAACATATAATCTGAGCTTATTTAATTAAGTAGAATGAATATCGAATTTATGAAATAATTGTTATATTTGTAACGATTTATTTCCAAAGATTGTATATTACACATGTAGCTCACTAATTTATGAAGCATGGTAAAGATATATATATATATATATATTGTTCGTTTTATATTATTATAACTGTACACTTACTTGGAAAAATAATAATATAAACGTTCTTGTCTTCCTAAGTTGATACTCAGTTTAAACTATGGAATCCATGTTAGTCCTTCATATATATATCGAAGATAAAATTGCCACAAAAATAGCGCTCCCATACTCTGATGTCATAAATGCGGTATAAAAATGACGAAAAAATTCCAATATTTGATCAAAGAAAAGTAGTTCAAGAGTTGGCACTAGGTGGTGCGAACCAGCTTAGAATTAGGAACGACTCTGCACACATACAGCCATTTGTGTGGCATTGAACAAAAATGAAGAAAAATAACAAATATATTTTTATGACTTAATATCATAGCCTTTCCATTTATTCATTGTCAACCTTATTTTGTTTGTTCATTTTGATGTCTTTTGTTTGTCAGTCTTGGTTTATCTTTTTTTTACTGCCTACTCTCAGAGTTGTTCTGATATTTATCTCATTCTTTCTACCCTATGTCTGTCTATTTTTATGTGTTAAAGTGCTCTGCTGGTTAATGTTTTAAAGAATGACTTCACGTGTGTTTCAAAATAACACCAAACATTTATTTTTAAAGTAACTGATGAAGGAGAAACTAAAGTTATATTTCAAATTCTAAAAAAAAAACAAGTCATTTATTCCAATATTTTGTTTAAGTGAACTAATGATAGCCTTATATTTAAGCAACAGTCAGTGTAATTAGTTAAAAATAAGAAGTTATCATAAATAAGTGAAGTACCTAAAGAGAATATTGACCTTTTCTCATTCAAAAGAAAAAGAACAGAGATGAATAAATGTTGTGTTCAGTAAGTATAGCAGCTTAGCAATTAAATAAGTACACCTTCCCAATCCAACATAATATTATAATGACATAGTTCATATTGTCCTTCTCTTGAATGTCATTTTGAAAGCTACACATATGTGTAATGCATTTCGTAGATACATTGCTGTAACACATGGGAAATCCCGGCCCAGCATGGTCAGGTGATTAGGGCACTCGACTCGAATCCCCGTCCAACCAAACATGCTCGCCCTTTCAGCCGTGGGGCGTTATAATGTGACGGGCAATCTCACTATTCCTTGGTAAAAGAGTAGCCCAAGAGTTGGCGGTGGGTGGTGATGACTAGCTGCCTTCTGTCTAGTCTTTCACTGTTAAATTAGGGACGGCTAGCGCAGAGAGCTCTCGAGTAGCTTTGCGCGAAATTCAAAACAACCAACCAAACAATCAATTGCGAGAGTTGCCATATACATACATACATACATACATACAAACGTACATTTATTCTAATATTTATTATTTAATGCTTCAGATGAATGTATTTTCGTTTTCGCAATTTTTAGCATCAGGCTCAAGGATGGAATAGAAAATAGAATTTTGTGTTTGTCTAGTGTACAATCACCTGATATCTTAAGCGAACATGATATTGCTCTAGGCCAGAAATTGTAATATAGAATTTCGATAAAAAAAACTATGTGTTTGGAATTTGCTGTGAAAATACCAAGTAACGTGGACATGAACAATGTAATAACCCCAGTGGTAGTTTTGAATTATTCTAATATGGTGCCTAAAGTATATGTCCCACCTGTTTGAAATGCCTTAGGTGTTCTGGAATATACGTGCTGAGCTTGTAGTAAGCGTTTAGCGTGAGTGTCGAAATATTGGAACATGACATTCACAGAATCATTGTAAAATGAGCAGACTTCTAACCAACGTAAGCTGTATGCTTGTCAGGTTCTGATTATTACACACACTTTAGAAGTGTTTTACAACAACATTTCGTCATGTCTACAGCTCTATTAACAGACTATAAATGTGACTTCCGAGACCATGCACATCGATAAATTTCCGGCTGAAGAGACCTACACTATTTATTTTATCTCCTAAAACAATAGAATAAAGTGAGATATGATAATGTTTAATTTAATCTTTAGTTTTCTTTTTGATAAACTTATCCATCTATCTCGTCAGAAATAATTAAGTACACTTTCTTTTTCTGTTGACAGAATGGGTGTTGGTTTAAATATTTTGGAGACTTTACAAAAACAAATGTTCGGGATAGGATGAAACGATGTTGTTAAGCTAACTACCTTTCATCGGTAACATTAGCCATTCTGCACGAATGGGAGATTTGAGCACAGAGAATTGTATGCAACACCTACACTCGCAACAAGATCGTAGACTTTACTTTCATACTTTGGTTTTTTTAATTCTAATCTTGAAGTAATGCCCTGGGTTTGAAAGTTAGTAATGACATACGAATAGAGGCGATAAGTGCCAGTTATCAACTCCATAGCAACCATCTATAGTTTCCCGATTTGTTAAGCATGTAGAAAAGTACTAGATACAGTCATATACATATGATGAAATCGAAATATAGAAGAAGGAAACAAAATTACAAAAAAACAAGAAACAAAATCATATGTAATGCAATACATACCTTTTAATGTTATGTTGTTTCATCAAATAAAAATCAAAGAAACTGTTCCCATGCCACAAGAAAGCTTCACCAGCTCTATTGTTCATGACCATTGAGAAACTTCACAAATTCGTGCTTGTTTGTTGTACATAATAAGTTATCTGTGTTGTGCCTACAATGAGTATCGAAATCCAATCTTTAGCCTTATGAGCCTTCATACTTGCCACCGAAGTATTATTACTTAACTCATTTGATGTAATTCATATTCACATATTATGTATTTTTTTTACAATTAGAGAATTATAATTGTAATTGTATTTTTATATATCTTACGTTCTTTAACAAATAAATATTTAAATTGTTATTATTTTTTTATTGTTCTTAGTTCAGTTATCTTCAGGTATTTAGAAATTTTCTATAACATTTTTGTTTTAGGAATGCTCCGCTGATCTGCAAATGAAACAGATGATGATTCGACAAACACGTTTGCATCTTGTGTTCCTAATTCTAAACGTACTGGTAGACTTAACTGTGAGTCGTCGTGGAGGTGAGTGTTGCATATATTCTTCCTTTTTTCGCTATGATAATCACAATATTTTCATTTTACAATAACACACTTAATTGCATTTATTTTCCATTGATATCATTACTGGATATCTTTGTGTTTGCTAGACCTGCAAGATAAATATCAAAACGATGGTTTCAGTTTACACGAGACAATTGGTCATTTGTTGAAAAGAGTGTACAGCCGTAATAGAATTTACACGTTTCTGTGGCCGAAACATTTAGATAATCTTTAGGGATGTGTTCTATTTTTAATAAAGCTTATTATTTGTGCAAATATTTAACATTGTATATACTTTAATATTTTACCTGTGCACAAGTGTTGTTTACTTCATTTAGCTGTCCATTTCTTAAGATACTTAATTGAAACAATTCCTTATTTTTTGCTTGTTTTTGAAGTTGCAACTTTATTTCGATGTCTCAAGAACTAAAAGTTGATACATATGGCACACAATATTTGAAAATTTATTAAACATATATTATACATATTTAAAAGCAGAAATAGAGCACAATAGCAGAATCAGATTTGCAAAATAAAGGTCCAGGTTATATTTCAATAAAATAAATGCATTACAAAATCTATAAAACAAAGACAACAAGGTCCTACAGATTTTTTGTTTGAGTAAAGTACAGCAGGAAAAACAAATATTTTTGAACAATAAAGAATTAGCTTTCATTTCGAGGATTCGTATTTTGAAAATAAATCTTTTGGCCCTTCAGGTGTGTCAACAGAAGTACGAAAATTAGATATGTTGTAAACCGTTAATGCATATAGACGTGTTAATGTAGTTTGATTGATTCTAGTTACAAAACCCTTAAGCGATTCTCAAACACGAATTTATTAAGGTATTCGTGAAACAAGTCGGTAGAAGGTAAATATACCTTTAAAAATGAGTTATTCCGGGTGTAATTATACTGTTTGTTTTGGTTATAAGTGGTAGTAGGTAAACATCTGTAACGTTTCTGAAAAAAAAAAATAATTTATAGCCATCGAAAAATTATAACTGATAAAAGTGATTTAATAGGTATATTTCTTCGGATTTTTTTTTCTTTCACAAAATATACCGTTACTGTGTTTATTTAAGCAGTTCAGTAATAACTAAATATAACTGTGACGAGTCTTTTTGGTCATTATGGTATTGTTAAATTTTAAATCTCTGGCTGCGTATTATATTACAACGTAATAAACAGTTAGAACACAAAAAAATAATCATGAAGTAACATAAAGGTATTTGTTACATAAAAGTATTTGAAGTAAGTTTTTATGACATGTTACTTCACTTAAATATCACTCATCAAGATGGTTTGGGCGAATATATGTATGTATTTCTTCTAAAAAAAAAGAATTGAAGTGATCAAATCCTGAGTACAAACATGAGGAAATATTTGAATAGATCGGTTTGTGGTGTTTTTAAAGAAACCAGGATAGAATACTTTCGCCTCCTTTAAAGCAAATTACACTCTCTCCCCTCCACTAAAAAAATAAAGAAGAAGAAGAGAAATAAACGAATTTTCTGAAGAACTGGGTTTGGTATGTAACATTTCAGGACTACTCTTTTCACACACCATCACCCCCATATATATGGGGTATTGGCCAGCTGTTTGCTTATATCTGACTTAATCTATAGTCAACCTACGTTCTTCTTCGCGTGTATGCATTGAGCCTTTCGGTCTCGTCTCTCACTAAAGAAAGGGGAAGGTAGCACATTTTGATATTCTTGCCCATCGATTTGAACCTTCAAAACGTAAACAGGACTAGATCTCTCGGTTACCTAAGTTGAGAAATTGGCTTCCTTAACGTTTCATATTTGCCCTGAGCTTTCAAAAATATAATAGAAAATAGATCGTAGGAAAGAATATTCGTTTGGCTTGTAATTCTCTCAATTCGTGACTAGCCAACCTTAAAGATTCCACCCGAATGATATGGTTATTGGACATATATTCCGCAAGGTTTTAGTGGTAATGCTCACCATGCCATTTTTGTGGAAATATACGAAACCTTTTTTTCAACGATTAAATTTTAGAAAATGTCTGAAATTGGATTTGTGTATCAAAATTGTAATTTTTGCTACATTTTTATACCTCATTATTGTTTATTTATCTGGAATTTATAATACGTGTTGAATATAATTTCGTTTCTGCGACACAATTGGTGTGTTGAACAAGGGTGATGGTTGGTGTTATTTATGTAAAAAAAACATCCAAGGAAAGAACAAAAAAGAGATGAGTTTCAAAGCCACAATGAACAGGTACGAAATTTTCAAACATTAGTCCTAAATGCGTTATTCCAACATCTTTTTATGAGTTATACTTTTAGCAAAATCTAAGTAATTGTTTCCCAGTGGTAATTTAATTAAGAAACACATAGTTGATGAAATTTCGTAAAATAAGGTTTTATAAAAAAAAATGTCACCTGCACAAGAGGGTTGGTCTGTCTTGGTGGTATTTTTAGCATTTCATTTTATATATGACATACAGAACCTTTTCATAATGAAAAGAACTTTGGAATGTATAATATTTTCCTGATTTTCTTAAGGTTTGTGACTGCAAGCACTTTAAAGCAAAATAAATTTAAATGTATATATATATATATGTATACAACTACGAAAAAATAAAAAATATCGCAACAAATACTTTCTTGATATTAATGTTTTCATTATCAGCCGCATGCTTTAGATCAAGTGTGGGCTACTTGTGAATAATACAGAACCATTGAAATTATAATTTGAATTTAAAGCAAAGCATGCCGCCCTACAACGCTAGAAACCGGGTTTCAATACCCGTGGTGAGCAGAGTAGAGAGGGCCCATTGTGTGGCTTTGTGATTAATTCCAAACAAACAAACATAGCATTCCAAATATGCCTTATCAAATATTTTATACATATACATAATTTATAATATAAAAAATGTTCAGAATATATTTTGTTCAGAAACGTGTGTACGCGAATGTCTTATAAATAAAAATATCCTCTTCCTTTTAAACAAGGAGAAAATTAATCAGGCATATACTAGTCACTACTAGGCCCTATGTGTAAAGTGAGCCGTAAGTTATAATGTATATTCATTTAATATTTTTCCAGCATTTTATAAAGTTACAAGTAGATGTATTTTCATATATTTGTTTTTGTTGATGCAATGAAAATTAATGTTTTCCCGTATTATGTACAGAAAGTCTTTATAACTGTTCTGCTTTCAGTACATTTTACAGCATAGAATGAACACAAAATTTAGCTACAGTTCTAATTGTCTTATCTTTGAGATGATTCTGTGCTATCATTATGAGGGAAAATTTAATTAGTTTTATATATTTGTTATACATTATCTCGAGAATAATAAGGAAGTTATAAAAAGATAAATCAATAAACAAAGAGATCAGGTGATGCTGTTTTATCTTGTCACAATACATTATATTAATTCCGGTATGGTGTTTATACTTGTAAAATTTCATTAAAACCTTGCTATAGATATATACGACCACTGGTTTGAAAATAGCCGTAAACCAACTGTTACGCTTGTTATTAATTGTATAGAATGGAGACAGCGCAGGTTTCGGAACAGAATGGCCTAACAAGAACTAAAACCTTAGATGCTAATTAGATTCCAAGTGTCTTTTTCTCAACAGAATTGATTTGCTATGGTAAAACGGAAGTCTTAATTCTTTATCCCAGAGAGGTGGGGAAGAATAAAGCAGATTCTGCATGACAGTATTAACGTAATGGATGGGGTTGTTAAAGGCTCCTGTGTGGTCCACGTATTCAGTACTTACTCGCGGTAAGACCACAAGATAAAGTAAGCCTAAGGCACGCTTCATTCTGTTTTTATTTCAGACCAGCCGGGGTCATATTGGGTTCTTTTATACGTTTCTCAAGGGTTTTTGACGAGAAAGCTCTTTATTGTTCACTCTCACGACGTCCCTGCTATGAATACTCACCCGAAAATATCCTAATGTCTTATCGAGTCTTTACAAAATATCTTATAAATAGATCTAGATCTTGTGTTTTTATGCATAAGAACTTAGAATATTATACACCTACAGCTGTTCAAACTCAATTGCATTTCCATCCTCCCCCCCCGCCCACAGAGGGGTAATTTCTCTCATTTTATTGTGCATCCCTCTTGCAGTCAAAGAACAACTTTGTGTTTGCTTTACACTAAAATCCCATGTAACTGTTGAGAATAATTCCACCAGTTTTTGTTGAAACTTTCCTCTCAAAGTTCTCAGGTAAATTCTTCCTGCTATTCTCCTAAACTCCAGGCAAGCAAACAGAATAATCCCCCTGTTGTTCTATTGCCCCCTAACCATTCTCATAAATATTCAGACTGATCTGAACGTTCCCTCACGAAAAGTTTAACAAATAGCTATTGTCATCTTCTTGGTTTACCTTTAACTCCTGAACAACGATGTGACGGTTTTCGCAGCTGTTACTAAATCAGGTCAAAGAGCCCTGATGCTTTGGGGAGGGGAGCTGATAATACAGAGAATAAGAGGATGCAGAAGAAATTTTTGATTACTTGAATAAGAAGATGCTTTCTAATAAAAGCTGTGGCTATCGCTTACAACAATGTATAATCTGTTTGTAAACCGTTGAAAATGAAACAAAAACTTTGAAAACTATGCACAATTCTAGCCTAGTAGTAAAGGAATAAAATGGCAAAAGTGGATATTTCCTGATTTCTATGAACAAACTATGTATTTGTAAACCGTTGAAAATGAAACAAAAACTTTGAAAACTATGCACATTTCTAGCCTAGTAGTAAAGGAATAAAATGGCAAAAGTGGGTATTTCCTGATTTCTTTGAACAAACTATTTATTTGTAAACCGTTGGAAATGAAACAAAAACTTTGAAAACTATGCACATTTCTAGCCTAGTAGTAAAGGAATAAAATGGCAAAAGTGGATATTTCCTGATTTCTTTGAATAAAGTATCTGTTTGTAAACCGTTGAAAATGAAACAAAAACTTTGAAACTATGCACATTTCTA